TATTTTTAAATATATATTTTTAGCGTTAATTATTAACATTCTTTATAAATGTCTCTAAAGCCTATAACAATATTGGATTTGATAACAATTATATCAATTAATGTTGGTAAAGGTTTTAACTCTCTTCATTAATGTGTATATTTATTATCGCTAAAAATTATTTTTGTTATAATAATATATAAATTATAAAATAAAGATTAGTACGTAAGTATTATTTTTCTTGTGAACTTTGTGGGACTATTGCATACTATAAAAATGAGTATATTTTTTTTCATTATACCATGTTTGGTAAAATATTTTCAAGGTGCGGTGAATTTCAAGAGACAGATATATATCAAAAAAAAATTAAAAACTGTAATTATACATAAATACTTATAATTTTTTAATTCGAGAACATGACTTTAGACAAGCAGCTATCAAGATCGAAGATTTATTAGTTGGTAGTCTTAATGATCATTTTCCTAAGGCAAGCACATTAAGAAGAAAAAAAAAGGAAATATTCTTTCTTTGTTACTCTTAATTCTTAACTAATATTGCTTTTAAAAGAATAATTTATGGATTTATATTATTGTTGATGTTTAACCAAATTCTCAAAATTAATTAATATTGAAAAAGCGTTTTATAAATACATATAAAAAAAGTACTTTTAAGTATTCATTTGTATTTGTCTAAATTTTTAAAAAAGGTTTCACCTATTTTTATCGATTTAAAAATAAAGAGATCTCTTTTATTTCAGCGGCGGCTACTTATCTTCTTTGTTTCCTTATAAATTAAAATTCCCTCCTTTGATTCTTGAGACAAGAAAATTAACAACAAGAATAGAAACTATCCATTTTTTTTTAAATCCATTATCATGATAATATACTTTTATTCCTTCTAAACAATATCATGTTAGGGTTTATTTTGGATCATAAACTCTATATTCTCTCTAATTCCATAAACAATGGATACTTGTATAGAAAAAGAGGAACATAATTAATTGATGGGCACCTAATTCCTTTTTTTTTATAAAGTCACAAATTAGCCCTAATAATAACAAGGGAACAATTGGTATGGTGTATGAACATAAGTTGTCATAAATAAAACTATAGTATTGTTTTATATATTTCATATTTGGTTACTAATTATTTAATTATAACTTAAAACTTTAAGGTCAGAATTAGTTATTTTAGTAAGATCGTAAAATAATAATAATATTGAAATTAGTTATGTCGAGATAAATTAAAATAGTACTTAGAGGTTTCTTAAATCCTTTCTACTAAATAAAGTGGAAACTATTATGAATCACTACTATAAAAATAATTTTTAGCGTCATTTAATATTGCCACTAATAAGTAGTGCTAAAGTTTTTATCGGCATTAATTAAGTGTCATTAGAATCAATGTCGCTAAAAGCTTTAGGTACATATACAATGAGTGACAATTGATGATAAATTTACATATTTAGCGGCAATTAAAAATTAAATGCCACTAATGATCATTTTTATTGCAGTGAATGTTATGACAAATTGCGGGAAAAAAGGTTAATTAACTTACTAATATCGCCAATAATTTTATATGAAAATATGTATTTACGTTGAAAAACTGACTACGTCTATCTTTTATTTCATATCATCTTTTTTTTTTCCTTCAAATTTAAGAAATAACTGATAGACTATATTGGTGATTTCATTTAAAAGATAACGTAGTATGATTTTTGTACTGATGCTTCTCTTAGGAAAAATATACACTTTAATCTTGTTAGCGTATAAAAGTTAAACTCTTGCAATTTTACGTGATAATGATTTAAAAGTTTGATTCAGCAATACTTTTTTTCGTCAGAAGAAATGTTGTTTATAGTCGTTATTTTTAATGCCATTTATATAATATTAATTATGATAAATGTTTTCTATATGATTAAGATGGTGATTTACTTAGATAGTTAAAATTTTCATGATAAATCAAATTCTATTGTTGATGGATTATGATGGCTGATTAAAAGCAATAATTTATGGACTTTCCACATTATGTCCAATTTTGGATAAATGAAATTCCATTCCAAATAGGTAATGCTGCCAAAACCTCCTTTGTGGACTTATTTGCTAATCCAATTCCAAATTGGATTCTAATTTAATAAATCAAGAAACATAATTTATTTATTTTTTTAAAAATAAAAAAATGAATAAACTAAATCATATTTTTTGTCCTAATAAAATAATATTTAATTAAACAAATGATCATTTGAACAATAAAATTCTCTAATTTAATTATCAAATAAAAAAATAATTTAATCCTGTAGAAAAGATCAAAACACTTATTAGTGTGTGTTTACATAATTATTTCTTTTTCTGTACAAAATTATTGCTGTATTTACTAAAATTATTAGACTTTATATATCTAGCAAAAAGAGTTTCGAATTTATTTGCTTTCAGCTTTCCAACGACAAACAAAGGAGGAACCACTTATATTACAAAAGAGTTTCCTACTACGATATCATAGGTTCAATAACAAGCAAATGTTAATAAAAATATGTTCAAAAAATTCAGATGTGAAATTAAATTTAGGGGTTTACTCATATCTCTAACATTTTATAGGTAAGTGGACACTACCAAATTAATATTTCACTATCTGCGTATAGAAGTTGAACTCTAAAGAAAATGATCGTTTGTGATAGAGATTTTAGAGTTAGATTCAAAGTATAGTTAGGGCTGGACGTAGAGAGTTAATTTGTATTTATAAATTTTAAATCATAAATCCACTTTCACGTATGATCTTTTTCAATGAAGTGATTCAGTTCAATGGAACTCAAATTTTATATGTGGTAGGAATTTTATATCAAGTCACTAATTTATTTTGATAACCATCGAGTTAGTAGTTAAAATTATGATATTGATATGTTTTAAGATAGAATTGAATACATAAAAGGTAGATCTGGTACATAAACTATTGTGCTTATGTAGAATTTGGGGAAGAAACGTCAAGGAATATAATGTAAAGTATAGTAGACAATTTATTTTATCGTATACATATTAATAATTATTTTCACGATTCGAATATATATAACCGATAGATCACACAATAATAAATATTAGTGTTGCTCATCGAAAACTCCGATGCACTAATGTTTGCCACTAATTCTTAAGATAGATAACAAACACATCTAAACATTATTAATTAAGTGTATATATACAACATATTTTAAACTTATTCTATAACTGGATTTCAATTTAAAAAAAATAATGATGTGTCATGTCCCAAAGTTAGTTGCACTCTAAAAAAAGTTAAAAGGTTTTTAACCAAAAATAACTTCTTGACTATAACAAATTAGAGTTGGAATTAATAATCAAAACATATAAAAATTGATATTTTTAAACAAGTTTTACACCATAATGTAGCAATCCATCCTGTTAGTGATATTGTCTGCTTTAAATCTAGGAATGTACGTCTTTAAAATGCGTCATTAGTGGGTAAGACATGCTTACTTAAAACACGTCATTAATGAATAAGATTTGTTTACTTATATACTCAACATCTCTCATATATTTTACTGATGTGAAATTAGTTATCTTAAACCGGAATGTCAGTACACTTCATTTGTATCTTTTTTTATATGAGCCATTATCATTTACATGTAAAAGTGCACCTTAAAGCTGGTTAAGCTTATAAACTATAAATTGTTCATTTTTTCTCGTTTAATAATCAATATCTACTTAACAAGGCCTGTTTAATAGATGATAATAGTTTAAGTAGAAAAATGAAATTGTAACTTTTTTACGACTTTTAACATTTCAACTATCAGTTAGTAATATGCTCATCCATTACATATTTTAAAGAGAACAAAGAACCATTAAAAGGTTAAAAACTTATTATAAAGTTAAATATTTTTTCAGTATATATGAAAGGACCTTACAAGTTACAACTAAATCTTTTGAAAGAAAAGTATCGGTCACTACTAAGTTTTCCAAGAAAAACAACAACAAAGGAACAATCTTTTTCTACCACAAGGGGATGTGACTATTGATAGAATCCATTCATTTTAATGGGAGGGCAATTTTTTTTTAAGCGGATTCAAAATATAAAAAAGTAAATATACGGACAAAAAAAAATAAGAAAATTTATCAACGTATACATAAGAAAAGTTGCATACTTCCAAATAGACATGATACATAAACATGATCTTTAACTTGACGTCAGTTGGCAACTATATGTGCACAAGTAGGCACTTAAACTTGTATAAGATTGAACAATTGACACATTCATCCTACAGGCACCCTACATGAAAATTTTGTGTCCTGCGTGGCGTCCTACGTGTATCATGTCATGCATGACATGTGTGGCTACTTGTTCAATTTTATACAAGAGTAAGTGCCTACTTGTGCGCATCCAAAGTTGAGGGTCATAGTTACCGACTGACGTCAAGTTAAGAGTCATGTTTATGTATTATGCCCTCCAGGTAACATAGATTTGAAGAAGCATGGAATGCATGTAGATCTTACTTCTCGTGAAAATGGTTTTCAAATACGAATAGATTAGTCTCGGCTCAAGTAAAACATTTTAAAAGTAAGTACTTAAGACAAAATAATACAATAATAAAAAAGTTATGATAATATTAAATAATAAAAACTATAGCAAAATATAATATATTATCGAAGCAAACATAAATGTCTAATTCAAGCCTCGATAAATGAAAAAAATAATCTAATTTGAACACCGCAACTTTCTTTTAAATGGGCCCTCCACGACACTAATCTAGATTAATCGAAATAATAAATTCTGAAATACCTCATGATATATAGTAAAACAAAAAAGTCTTTATTCTCTTTTCTTCTTGACTAGGGAACCATTAGATTTTAAAGACATTAAATCTATTACCCTTACCCTAAGAATAAGAAGATGTAAAGTAGAAGAGAAAACAACCAAAACCATATATATACATATATATAATTACATTATATTGTCTTATAACATATAGTCTTTTAAGGAAAAACAAATTTAGAAAAAAAATAATATTATTTTACATTTTTTTTTCTTCATACAATATGGGTAGAGGGAAAGTAGAATTGAAGAGAATTGAGAACAAAATAAATAGACAAGTTACCTTTGCAAAGAGAAGAAATGGACTCCTAAAGAAAGCTTATGAACTTTCTATACTTTGTGATGCTGAAATTGCTCTTATTATTTTCTCTAGTCGTGGCAAGCTTTATGAATTTTGCAGCAATTCAAGGTATGTATGTATTTTTATTGACATAATTTTGAAGATTAGAGATGTCATATTGTTTGAGGTACTATTTGTTTTTGTATATATATATATATATATTCACTATCTGGTACAAAGGTTTGATATTTCACTGTCTGATGAAAAGGTTTGATTTTTATTTTAATGTTATTTTATGAAAAAGATTTTTATTTTGAAAATTAGAAACGTCATATCGTTTGAGGGGTACTATATTTTTTTTTATATGTTTTACTCTTTGCTAAGAAGGTTTGATCTTTGATTATTGCTATATAAAGAAAAAGAGCTTGATTTCTTGAAGATTAGAAATGTCATATCGCTTAAGGGGTACTATTTTGTTTTTTTATATGTTTTATTGTTTGTTAAAGAAAATTTGATCTTTGATTAATGATGTATTAAGAATTAAAAAGATCTTGATTTCTTAAAGATTAGAAATGTCATATCGTTTGAGGGGTATTATGTCTTTTGTATATATATGGTATATCGTATGCTAAGAAGGTTTGATCTTTGAATATACTATATTATGAAAAAGATCTTGATTTCTTGAAGAGTAGAAATGTAATATCGATAGAGGGGTATCTGTGATCGCATATGTTGATCTTTAATTGATGTTATTTTATGAAAAATGATTTTCATTTTTTAAAGATTATACTCTGGTAATAAAGAAGATATGATCTTTAAAAGAATTTTGATTTCTTGAAAATTAGAGATATTATATCGATCGAAGGGTATAACAATCGTATTTGTTCTACTGTCTGCTAAAAAGGTTTGATCTAAGATGGATGCTATTTTATGAAAAATAAAAAATATTTAAAAATTTGAATCGTCACTAATATTATATTTATATTTTTAATCTGTGTATCGAGGATTGTTTCTTATCGTATATATGATCAAAACTCAATTTTTTTCAAAGATTAGAGAGGTAAGTAGTACTATTTTTCTATATTTAGACTTTTGATTGAAGGATGTTGCTTATCATATTTATGGTAGGAGAAAAAAAAATGATTTTGGACTAAGTTTTCCATATACTTTGACTTTATCATATGTTGAAATTTTTGTCAACAAAGAAAATATTTTATTGGAACAAACATATGATCTAGGTTTTTAAAGTAGATTATTTCAAATTAATTATACCATTACAAATGAAGAATCTTGATGAATTTATATATTTAAAGATAAAAGAAATAATTGTTATAATTTTTATAAGGAATAATATATATGTTAGTTGAGGGGAGTCTTTAACTTTGGTGTTGATTTGATGTGCACCTTCATATTTCTCCATTTTATGAAACTTTATTTTTCTTAAAGTACAGACATATAATAAAGACAAGCGTGACAATTTTTCATATAAAGCTGAATAAATTCTTCATACTACATTATAAGCAAATAGAATATATCTAGATTTGATCATCATCACTAGTATTGAAATAAATCACTTCTTTAGTTTACTTTTTAACGATAATAATCGTGATGAAATAGATAAATTTATTCATTCATAACAAAAATTTTCAAATTCGAATTTTGAGGTGATAATTTATGTGGAATATTCTAAAAAAAATCAGGATTAAATTTATATGAATATCTCAAAATTATTTATCTTATATGAAAATGGTGAATTATAATTACCATGACCAAAGATAAATAAAAAAGGAAAAAATAACTAATATTATCTTTTTCAAACTTTCACAAAAGTAATAGGGATCAAATCAACTAGTAGTAGTACACTTTATCATGCATAAGAAATAAATTGTTCCAAATTTATACTTATACAATATTTTGTCATGGTATCTTGTAGTCTCCTACACTATTATTATCATTATAAAAAAGTAATACAAATTTCTTGATTTTCCATCCGGTGCTCCGTTTTGATTTTTAGAGTATCGTTTAATTTAAATTGTATCACGTAAAAGAAAAGCACTTTCAATATCGTTATAATTTTTTTTTGTTTTCAGAGATTAAATTCAAGTCTTTTGATTCAAGGAAATGATTATGAGATCCTTTGTGTTAGACATGTGAATTTAGGAAGTAAATGATTATTAGACAACACCATGCATAATTTATGAGCTTATATTTAGCTTTTAAATATAAGTTATTTTTAGAAAAAACTTAGACAACTAATTTGCAACGATAGAAATACAATTTTAGAGAAATAAAATCATCATAAAAATATAGGAAAATTAGGAAAATTAAACATCAATTAATGAAAAAAAAAAGGAAGTTAAATTTGTGGGCTCGAGGGAGTAATTAAAGTAGATTAAAAGTTCTTTTTCTGAATTTTACCTGCCCTTTGTTATTACTTTTCCTTTTTTTTTTTTACTTTCCATAGTTAATTTCCTTTCGTTTATTTTTTTCAAAAACTTTTACAGTAAAACAAGTCAATAAATATTTATTTCGCTATAAATCATTTCATAAAGATGAAAATACTAGTACTAGTAATAAGGAATACTAAAATGTGTGGATTTCCGGGGAAGTTCCAACGACACGCCATTAAAAGTTATTTTCAACGAAAATATAATCAAAACATTTTTATTTCCATCGGAAGCTCACATATTTTTTTCGTGAATACTCTTCTTTACATTTTAATTTGTTTTTTTTATATCAGTTGAGCACTTCGTTTTACAAAATGATCATCTAGACAACTTTGAAAATTTTTGTGTCACATAAGCATCAGGTGTCTAGGAGATACAGTAAAAACGAGTTGGAATACTTAGTTGTCAAATTGAGATCAGGTTAAAATGTTTACATCTGCACTTTCAAATTATATTAAAACGTATAGTTGTCAGCTGATATCAAATTATATTAAAACGTATAGTTGTCAGCTGATATCAAATTTAACGTTTAATTATTCTATTACTTGTGTTTCTAGTATGTCCAAGACATTGGAGAGATACCACAGATACAATTATGGTACACTTGAAGGAACCCAAACTTCATCAGATTCACAGGTTTTATTTGTATTTCTTCCTCAATATTCAAGCATGCAAATTACTCAAAAGGTTTTCTTAGAAAACATCAAATAGTTCAATTTTTTAAACCTAAATTAGTTAGTAAAATTAAGAGTTAATGGATAAGAGCACATTTAAATTATCACTTTTTGTGAGTTATCATATAAACCTTAACTATTCATTGTTTTCTTTATCTGTCTAAACTATCACTTAATTTGTATTAAACACACCTCAATGCTGAGTTGGTAAAATATTTATTCTTATTCGACATATGTGTGTAGGCCAACTCAATATTGATGTGTTTTTAAATATAAACTAAGTGAAAGTTAGAAATATGAAACTTGTGAAAATGTAATAATTTAAGCATATATAAATAGAAAAATAGATAGCTGATATATGAAACTCACGAAATTACGACAATTTATGTATTTTTCTTTTAATTAACTCTACCATTAAAGCTAATAATATTGATGGCTAATTTTGATGAAATTGATTTTCTTGTTGTAAAAAACAGAACAACTACCAAGAGTATTTGAAGCTTAAAACAAGAGTGGAAATGTTACAACAGTCTCAAAGGTGAGAAAAAAAATTACTTATTTAGACCAAGATTATTAGATGTAATTTTCAACTCCGAATGCATTAAGTTGTCGCTATTTCACATGGATTGGACCACATAAGATTTGTTGTTGCCTAGAGTTACTATTTCAACGACTTGAATGTGTGACCTCCTGATCACACGATAACAGATCCAGACTATTCATTCTTTATAATTTATTTTGAAATAACTTTTTCATATTTTTAGGCATTTGCTAGGTGAGGATTTGGGACAATTGGGCACAAAAGACTTGGAACAGCTTGAACGTCAATTGGATTCATCATTGAGGCAAATTAGGTCAACAAAGGTACTACTTTTATTTTACAAATAATGACAAATAATTTAAGATAATTATTTTTTAAAATTACGAAGAAATAATTTGAGACAGAGAGAGTATCTAATAAGGTCTTAATTGATGAACTACTTTTTTTAAAAAACTTGTTTTCAGACACAACACATTCTTGATCAACTTGCTGAACTTCAACAAAAGGTACATTATATATAGAAATTAATTAAGATGACATTTAGTTATTTTAATTTTCTCAAATTATATTGGAAATATAATATGTTTTTTTTACTTCTTGTACAGGAACAATCTCTTACTGAAATGAACAAATCTTTGAGAATAAAGGTAACAATAATAACTTAGACTATAGTTTTGGCTTAATTTTGATTTACAAATTACTTTGAGATCGATCACTCGACTTTATCTACTATAACAGTAAAGTCAAATTATAATTTCTTGTCTCACTAAGGTAACTTCATTATCATATATAGTTGTAAAGTCACAAAATTATTTTTGTTTACTTACGTTACAATAATTGAACTGACTATATTGAATTGTTATCATAAATAAAGTTCAGTAATCGATCATATTTTTTTTTAACAATAACTTTTCTATGGAATTTTGATAATTTTAGTTGGAAGAACTTGGTGTTACCTTTCAAACATCATGGCATTGTGGTGAGCAAAGTGTACAATATAGACATGAACAGCCTTCTCATCATGAGGGATTTTTTCAACATGTAAATTGCAATAATACATTGCCTATAAGGTAATATTGAAAATTTCTAGCTTTTCATGAATTTTTTTTTTTAATAAATTTATACATATAAGGCACAATCAATACACAACAACAATATTAACGTATCAGTGTAACCTCACAAGTAGGGCCTGAAAAGAGTGGTATATGTATCAGCATTATCTTTAGTTAATTCGTGAAGATAGAAAAGTTGTTTATAATTGACCTCGACTCTAGTAAATCATATCAACATAATACACACAAATTCAATATCTAATCAATCAAACGTGTAGTATATTATGTACACACATTTTTAAAAAATATCTTATTATAAACATGCATATATTTTGAATTAAGAAGCAATTATTACGTGCTCTGAAATCACTTATGACTTTATTAGTCTACTTGTTTGAGACTGAGACACGGTTATATATATTTGTTGATTTAGTTACGGATACGATAATGTACAACCCGAAAATGCAGCACCATCAACACATGATGCTACTGGAGTTGTACCTGGATGGATGCTTTGAATTTGGAGTATATGGAGAGAAAAAATCCTCTTAGTTATACAAGTTATTTATTTTTATTAAAAAAATAAGTTAGATGGAGAATTATATATATCATACTTTAAAGAACTTATATTGTTTGAATGTTTTAGCTAGCAAACACTTTGGATTATATATAATATTGTGATATATTTATTGTCAAGAAGAGTATGGCAATATTGATAACACTATATTTTTGAATTACTATTTACTATTTTCCTTTTTATGTGTGTTCAAGTTGAGGCCACATGAATCCATTGGAGAAAATAAAAAAAAACTTTGAAAAAATTGGAGGTTGATATATTCATCTATTTTTCACGTTTGAGTTTAATTTTTTTTCTTCTAAAATTCTATTGTTTTGTTTAATACATGCACATTCATATATCAAAGATATTTTCATCGAATCCGCGATTGTTCAAAACCTTTTAGAAGGTTTTTATCGTATCGAATTTAATTATGATATCATACTAAATTAGATATTCAGATTCACCCAAATGAAAAAAAAAATACGCAATATAAACAAAATTTTGAAGAAGTACGTTTAACTTATTCTCCCTCCGTTCAGAAATATTTGCCGTGTTGTGCTTATCGAAAGTCAATTTGATTAATTTTCAAAAGTAAATTAGATCACATTAATTCGATATTTTAAACAAAAAAATTAGATGTTCTAAAACTATAAGAAAAGTACTATAAATTACAACTTTTTTATATTAATACGATGAAAAAATACATCTTAAAATGTCAGTCAAAATTTTTATAGTTTGACTTTAAAAACAGAAACTATGACAAATAATATTGAACGGAGAGAGTAATTTTCTTAATAAGATCATATATATATATATA